ATATATATATATATATATATATATATCTTTCTTTCTCTTCTCTCTCTAGTAATGGTAATGGTCATTTTGGTCGGTCCTCATGCACAGCCGGGTGCATTGGCACATGCCCGCAAATGCACACACGAATAGAAACAACACGGAAGCAACTTACACCAATGATAAGTGCGTAATAGAAGTCGAAAAGTATAAGCAGAAAATTGCTGATGATACGCTCTGAAGAGAGCAAGGACAAATTGCGCCTACGAACCTCTGGAGTCGGGGTGCTGAAGTTAACATCAATCAGCTAAGTGACAAACTTTTACTTATATTAATTCTCTCACTTTAATTTCTCGCGATAAATTCCATGGAGCTTGTCAATACTAAAACGTTTGATAAAAATAATTTATAACATTTTTTAAGTTAAATTTTTTAAATTATAGAAAGAAAGAAGAAAAAAGAGAGGAAAACAGAGGAACAACCAGCAAATAAGGGAAAAGGCATTTAAAAGGGAAATAGAAAAATAAAAGGAAACATCAAAGTAGTGAAGGCGAACAGGAAGAAGGAACATATACAAGTCTAGACAGAAGCTAAAAAAAACGGTTCAAGGTTAACAATGACATGTTTAGAAATTTAACTCTTGTTCAAATAGAAAATATAATAAATAAAAGACAATCATGAAAATTAAGAAAAGGAAGATTGAAACGATTTAAATTTAATATTAAACAATGAATTTAATATCATAATAAAAAATGAAGACATTATTAGTATAAAAACAAGAAACATTTTAAATGATAAGATAAAGGAAGAAATTAATATAAATAGATAAGCCATAGACTAGAAAAGAAAATTTTACAATATAAGGGAAAAATTACATTAATTGATAAAAGGTAAAACATAGATTTGAAGATTATATATATTAATAATGGATTAAAATACAAAGGATATATATATATATATATATATATATATATATATATATATATATATATATATATATGGTATGATTTTGATTTTGCCAATAAATATGTCGTTTCTCCTTTTTGTCTCTTTAGCCAGCTTTCCCTGACGATCCGCTTAGGTGAAACCTTGGTAGGTTTGTCTGGCTCACTAGGTTTATCTATCTTTCTATCTATCTATCTATCTATATATATATATATATATATATATATATATATATAAGACATTGCTCAGAGACTGCACAAATATACATGTATATTAATAAATCATAATTAAGAAACCATTGAAAAACATATTTTTTGAATTGCATGTTGCAATTTCCAAGCTTCGTTTGTATGAATGTAGTAAACACCAGTGGAAAATTTCAGATTATTTCATGATCACTTTCCTTGCGACATTGTGATCGACCTTTTGTCCACTTTTAATGTACACCAAAATATAGGTGTCATTTATCATTTATCAGAATAATAATATATTGCATATCGGCGACATCAATTTAATTCTAATATTATTTAAGTGGTACATCATATCAAAATATTAAAATTTAATACCAAAATAGTTTTTCCGCTGAAGGTGGGCATCATTTTCTTAGACAATAAACATTGTCTAATACATCCATCTCTTACTTTGTATCCCATCACTTCATTGCAAGGTTCATCATCACTTTTATCAGTCTTTCGACCACCTGAGTAGTATTTGATATCTTGGGCAATGCTTTCTCAAGAATGTCATTAACTGTTGATCTGATAGAGAATCAATCTAAGGAGGCTTCATTCATCAAGTTAATTATGAAATGATAGTTTTTACTTACAACTTTAAATTGGGAGTCACCAATTTTATTATGTTGACGACAGGACATTCATCCTCATTCGTATCTCCATCTTCACTGTCCTCCTCCTCATCTGTGTCGTTTATCAAATCCTTGTCAACAGCAGCAGCAGAATCTTCTTCTTCCTCATCAGATCTGGCATTGCATTCTTTTATCTGCTTATTCTTCTCTTTAATTTTCCTTTTGAATGAGACAGCTTTTTCTCTAACAGACATGCCCTCATCTGCACACATACCAAGAAGTTGATTTGTGTGGCCGAAGTATTCATTTTTCGTGACAGTCTTCACTATTGTCCTCTTCTTAAGAGGTTTGTCATATATAGGAGGGATTGGAATACGTTCCTAGAGCTATGTGTTAAGTAAGGATGCATCTTGATGTATAACTATATTGGAGTACCGAACTTTACAATAGTAATGATGATTCTTTTCAGCTCGTAAATGGTCCTTGATGTTACTAGATACAACCTGAGGATTCTACTTCATAAATTATTCTAACTTAACACGAAGGGAGGACCTGACTCAATAGCAGCCAAGTCATCAAACAATTCCTTTACAAATCCTATACAGGTATTTCTGATCCTAGGAGGAATCTTTCACTAATTCTTCATTCAGGACAGATAAATTGACTGGCTCCAAGGCAACAACTGTTAGTTCAGACAACAGCATCGTGATCTACATTCCAATGGGACCACGCCAATGCTCAGGACCATTTGGTTTACCATCGTAGTGATAGAAAACTTCGCGGAAAGTCAGCTCATTTCCGTGAAGCTGACAGATTAAATAATGAACCCGGTGATCAGAAAATATTTCAAAATGGTAAATGGCTCCGTTTTCTGGTCCTAAATTTACATTACTTCCATCACTAACAATATATACAATGAGCTGCTGGTTTAGTTTATTCTCCACGAGTTTTGGTAATCTGCTTTCCGTGTCCAGTCTTGGGAGTCACATGTATGTGATATACATTGCCAGGCTCAACCATGATGGCATAATGATCTTACACCATTATCATCGAACTCCATTTAATGGTCGCATCATTCTTTATCATCACATGAGTGGCGGTCATTTTATTATCAAATTCTAATACTGTACAATGTTCTCAAACTTTCCTCAAGAAATTTCTAAGAAATGGAACAGTCTATTTCCAATTGTTTTTCCTATATTTCTGAATAATCCTGGGAAGCCATATTGATAATCATTGAAACATCTGCAAAATTACTTTCATCACATTTACAGTTCTTTAACATCTCACCTTTCAATGGAAGTTTGTCCACTGGAAGAACACTATCAGAGCCAAATATTGGCTTCCCTCTTTAATACAGTAGCCATCACAATAGCAAATTGATGACTTAAGCTGATAAGAAAAGACAAAGATTTAGGGAATGAACAAAAATTAATGTAAACATAATACAATTGTACATTACACTGTGCCAACAAAAGTAAATTTAAAATTTAATTTGCAAATACTGCAGACTAAACCATGACTTATCAGCTTCAAATACGGCATGGAGTCTTAGATATGTATAAGTAGAAATCCATGAAAACTGTAGCTTTGAGGAAATATTTACTTAATACACACACACACACACACACACACACACACACACACACATATACATATATATATGTGTGTGTGTGTGTGTAATTTTTACATGGAAACGGAGCAGATATTATTGTAATTGTAATATTTATTTAAACCAATTTCCTCCACATGATTAAATATCAATAGGCAAATTATCTATTGTCTTAATAAATGAAGCTTAAGAAGAAATGTCAACGCCTTACGGTACATTTTAAGAAAACTTTCATGTCTGCCTTTTCCTCATTAAAGAAAAATAATTTAATCCTCATTTCAGATCCGGTTTCTAATTTTTTCACGTAAACCGCAGCTTGATAAAGTGCCCAGAGATCTTATGCAGAGCTCGGAGTAATTTTCTTCTAATATGTACCATGTCCATTTCTGGGGGTTGTGATCATGTCTCTCCACAATTTCTCGTACTTTATATCTGTAAGTAAGGTTTGTCTTTTTGCTATTTCTCTCAATCAGTATATAACTGAAGAGAATTGGAAGAATTGTGTATTCTCCATTTTGTAATTCCAGCGTTATGGGCATTATTATATACCTGATTTAATAACACCGTATTTCAAAGATGGAATTAAAAGAAACATGCTTTATTCTTAGAGAGACTTTTATACTACTAAAACATAAACAAATACAAACACACACACACACACACACACACACACACACACACACACACACACACACATATATATATATATATATATATATATATATATATATATATATATATATATATATATATATTACTGATGTAATGATTATCATGTTCCAAATCTTTTAAAAGGGTTCGGTAGTAAAACAATAAAACAAAAATATTACAGATAACTGAATAAATAAACTATAAATCCTACCCAACTCTCTGAAAACTATAAAAATTGAATTTAGTCTTCATTTATGTTGAAAACATAATTTATATCAAAAAAATAATGAGAGTAAATGAGTAGAATTTCTCGATTACGAAGAGAAATCAAAACAAACAACAAACGGTGCCATCATCCTTGAAAGTGAGCAATGAAGGTTTGGTTGTACAGGTGTGGTTTAAATTGCCCAGTTAATTAATAAAGCCCAATCAATCAGGTTTAGTTGATAAAAGTGGAAGTAGTATTTTCATACAGTCGAATGAATCGGATGAAATTTACTACATAAATCATTCACCATTACGTGGTAAAAATAATCTTACTAATGTTGAATAATTTGGAGAATAATACTTTGTCTCTGACTCTCTGATTGGTTTATTTTTTGAATAAATATTACATTTACTTATCACAACAACAATATGAAATTCGTTCAACCACCTAAAAATGCATATGTGAAGAATGCTAAAGCGTACGACGTGGTTCAGGTAGAAAATAGGTTTGATATTTATGGCGAAATCTATTTATCTATCTATCTAACTATCTATCTATCTATTACAATCGTTTCATATTTATATCTATCAATCTCTCTGAATATTTTCATGTCTATCATAATCTTTTCCTATCTATCTATCTATCTTTTCATATTTATATCTATCAATCAATCTTTTTCATATCTATAGCTATCAATCTGATTTATCATAATCCTTTCATATCTATCTTCTATCTATCTATCTATCTATCTATCTATTACAATCTTTTCATATCTATAGCTATCAATATCTGAATATTTTCATATGTACCTTAATCTTTTCCTCTCTCTCTCTCCCTCTCTCTCTCTCTCTCTTTATCCATCTATCTATCTATCAATTACAATATTTTCATATTTATATCTATCAATCTCTCTGAATATTTTCATGTCTATCATAATCTTTTCCTATCTATCTATCTATCTATCTAGCTATTACAATCTTTTCATATCTATAGCTATCAATCTATCTGAATATTTTCATATCTATCATAATCCTTTCCTATCTATCTATCTATCTATCTATTACAATCTTTTCATATCTATAGCTATCAATCTATCTGAATATTTTCATATCTATCATAATCCTTTCCTATCTATCTATCTATCTATCTATCTATCTATCTATCTATCTATCTATCTATCTATCTATCTCAGTCTGTTTATATTTGTATGTATGTATGTATGTATCTACTTTTATGTACATATATTGCTCATTCTGTTGATATATATATATATATATATATCCGTCTAGCTCGTGTTATTACTTTCAATTTATCTTTTATTTGTTATCTGTTTTTTTAAGGCACAACTTTCTTATGAAGAAATAAAATTTTCTCTGAACGTAGGTCAAAGCTCATGAATCGTTGCATACACGTTATGCATTAGACAGATCCACTAATTGCATCGCTGATCCTTTTTCTATGTCTGCTCTCAGTCAGTCATTAGTGCGTCTTTTCACACAAGCTTGACGATAATGCAGCTCGTGATGTATCTTCGTCGCTGATTTTCCCTTTACTGAAGGAAGAAAAAGGTCGGCCATTTCGTTTTTGGTCCTGTTTTTTAAGGTTAACCGATTACAAAAGTCTCTAAATTGTGGTAATAATGGAATTATAATGGAGCAATCCGTTTTTTTAGCGTACGTTGAGTTCGTTTAATCATGTACAACTGAAACAAGGAACTGGGATGAGGGTTAGGAAGAAAGCAAGAAAGTGTGGGGAAGAACGGAAAAAGAGTAACTGGAGCATATAAACCGAAAGAAAGAGAAAGGGAGAGAGAGAGAGAGAGAAAGAGAGAGAGAGAAAGAGAGAGAGAGAAAGAGAGAGAGAAAGAGAGAGAGAGATGAATTGAGAAAAAAAGAAGGAAGGACGAAGAATGTAAAGGAAAAAAAGAAATATAATAAAAAAGACGAAAAAATAATGTAAAACGAATTTGTTCAGTAGAAAAGATCAAAAAAAAAAAAAGAAAAAGAAAAAAAGAGAAAGAAGCTCTTCCACAAAGAAATAGAAAGAAATCTTGGCATAATTCAGGTCCCAAATCCAATATTAAATGAATGAAAGATCCTTAAATGGAAACAAAAATCTCAAAGAACCTCCGAAAGCGGAACGAGTGATGAAACCCAAATAAAATTTTAAGATAAAAAATATGTCTTCAAATAATTTATTAAATTTTTGAGAACATCGGATTGAAAACTTATACGTACACAAATATGTTGGTGTGTACGGTACTTATATTGATACCAACTGTGTGCAGCCATTGTTGCATAAGAGTGAATCAGTTGTTTTACCAATAGTAAACATAATGTAATTTGATCCCTTGCACTGCACAGGCAGTCCCTTCTTCAAATATTTAGGCTTTAAATAAAACGAGTGATAAGTCGTAAAAAACAAGCCAATTATGTCCTTCTTTTAGCACCCGTCCTAAGGTAACACCATGATTTCAGAAATACCATCTCTTGGCTTTCTGCCTCATTTTTCTGCCATATGTTGACTTGCTTTTTATAGGTTCTCTTCTCGTAAACTGCTAAAATATTTCTTCTTCTTCTTCTTCATTATTATTATTATTATTTTTCCTTTGATTTCTGTTGTATACTCGTTTCCTTCAGGGTCTTAACCAGAGACTTAATATCAGAAATGGCATAAGGATATTTACAACTGAGCATTTTTTTCAAAAAAGAAGATAACCTATGATTACACACATTTTACATGGATAAAGCCATTCATAAGGTATGAGTACAAGTTTATGTATATCTTGAAGCCATGGGATTCCAGGGAGACTGTCAATGTGTCAATCGAAAACATTTCTCGTGAAATCGATCGTTACAAATATAAATGAAATTATTGAAATCATCTTGTGACAAATTATTGACATTTCCCCAAAGTACTTATATTTTGATAGTGTTTTATAAGATCTTAAAAGATACATTAAAATCTGCAGGTAATGCTATCTCAATAAGAAATCACCTTCTGCTTTTTCTGGTCTTTAATCATAATGTCGGGGCGATTTGTTTGATTGTTCAGTTTGTAAGTATTTTACAGTCCATATAAATGTTACAGGCTCTTGTCTGTAAGTGAGATTGGGTGGTGCTCATACTATTTTCCTACTGCTTCCTTCCCGCAAATCTGGCATGTATTCCAGTGCAGATATTTACCCATTCTGTCATCCCTAATTTTATATTCAGTGGTTACCAATACTGCGCAACATTCTACAAGATGGTCAATTTTTTCTGGATATTAAAAACATAAACTGCATTTGAAGTCAACGCAATTTTTCCGTATATATGCATGGTAATTTCTAGTTAGCAAGCCTTTGTCCCGTGCATCAAAAATAAAACCTTCTGTTTCAGCTTTTAACCCTGCACTACGTAACCACTGATGGGTATGGAGTTTGTCTACATTAACTTGTTTGGCATGAGTATTTACCATGAAGATTTTTCTCTCACCATTCTTTATTCATTCCCTTCCTTGCATTTGCTTTCTTATTTAAGTTATTTGCCGCTGCAATAGATGTATTGTGATTTATTTGCACTTATCCACCCATTTGGAATTCCATTTTGAATTAGTTGCTTTACTTTGTTACTGAATAATGTTTCTCATTTCTTTCAGGTTCTTTGACACAGTTCATCCAGTCTTCTGTAGCTTCAAGGTATCATTGAAGACTGATTGTTGTAATTTCGTAACACAGTTCTAGTTGAACTAATCCTCTAACTCCTTCAGATCTGGACACATATAGACGAGCAAAATCAATCTTAGGGTAATGCATGCTGTGGCAAGTGATAAGCTTTTTTTGTTTTGTCATCCATTCGCTTAATTTTACCTGTGATCCAGTTAATGATATTGAAACTGTATTGTACCACAGAAATTGCCAACGTGTTTAACGGATAATATTTTGTTTTGTGAATTCACCTCAGTATTTAACACCAGACACAAACTCTTGTAGTATTCATTTTTTATACTTTTTACTTCATTTGGGTATACTGTATTCCATCTCCTTCGATGACTCTTAGGTATTTATATGGTTCTTCTTGTTCCAGTTTTTTTGGACAAAATCTAGATCTATTGAGAGTGTTCCGTAATTTTCTTTTTCTTGAATGTTATTTTGCACATTTATTTCATCCGAAAGCCACACCGATATGAGCACTGAAAGGTCTCACTCTATGGATGATACCTTTCAAATCATTGTCGTCAGTGGCAAAGAGTTTGATATCATCAATGTTCAATAGGTGATTGAATATATTCTTGTTTACTTTGTATCCATAGCTGTAATTGTTTAGTTCACGCGAAAGGGAGATTAAAGACAGACTAAACATTATGGGTGGCAGGGTGTATCTTTTAAAGATTGCTTTCAGATATTCAAACAATTGGAAATATCTGTAATTTTGGTGTGATTTAGGTATGATGTCGTTTCACACAATCCTATGCTATATTCAAGGAATTTATTATCAATGGCGGACTTTTAACATTGAAGAATCCAAGTATATTGTACATTCTCAAAGGCTTTGCGGTAATCTATCCAAGTTGTACTCAGATTTCTGCCTTTTTTCTGTAATTTTTCAGGATCATTTTATTTATCAGTCGTTGATCTTTGCAGTCATATGAATCCTATCTGTTCCAGTGTAAGTATCGTGTTTTCATCGAGAAAAGAGTAAGTACAGTTCGTCAGGACAAACACAACTAATTTATACGTGATGGACAAGCGTGTTATTGGCCTATAATTGTTCCAGTCATCTGTTTCAATCGTTTTTGACAAATGATATGTAATACCTTCAGTGATCCATTTCTTTTTTTTAATTGACATTGATATATTTTGCGTAAAAGTTTTATGGATTGATCGCAGATGATAGAGCCAAATGATGGCTACCTTACCATTTCCTGTGAATTTTCATTTTGGGGATTTTGTTAGAGCTTATTATTATTATTATTATTATTATTATTATCGCCAGGGAAACCATTAGTTAGAGTGGGGATACAAATATCCTAGGACAAACACAACAAAAATGACACACAACATGATAAGATTATATATTACAGTCAAATATAAGCCATATGGTAACAGGTTATGATAAAAGTCGTAGTTAATCTTACATGGTTAGTTATGCATTCATATCAGCTTCGGTTGTCTCCGATGAAGAGTGTTCTAAAGTATCTTGATGTGGCTCCCCACTCTCCTAAAAAACAATCTTCACATCACCCCGTGTCATTATTTTCCATCACTTCTCCTGTTCAGCAATAGAGAATTTCAGTGGAAACACGAGTTTGAAGTCAGACAAAATAATATGTTGTACTGCACCGTATATTTTCTGTAGCGCATCTTAATTCACTGAAAAGAAAACATGAATACTTTAAACAATTATGTTGTGATACCACTATCATTACTATTACTATTCAGGGGGTAATTTTCGGCGAGCGCCTTATTTCTTTTCAGTGAAATTGCTTTATTAACACAACACTCAAAACACAATTTCTTGCGAGACTTGCAAATAACCAAATAAAGTTAAAATGAAATAATTGTCAGTGGAAAAATAAAATTAGTTAATATCCTCAGTATACCACTCGGCGTAACTTTTCTAGATATTATGTTTATATTTTAGGAAATATTTAATTTTATCAACCTCTAAGCAGTATCATACCATATAATCTATCTATCTATCTATCTATCTATCTATCTATCTATCTATCTATCTATCTATCTATCACAGTCCCATTTCTTTCTTTTTTCTGTTCATATTTATATATCTGATTCATCAGTTCATATCTATCTATCTATCTATCTATCTATCTATCTATGCGAGTCCCTTTTTTCTATCTATCTATCTATCTATCTATCTATCTATCCCTTTTTCTATCTATCTATCTATCTATCTATGCGAGTCCCTTTTTTCTATCTATCTATCTATCTATGCGAGTCCCTTTTTTCTATCTATCTATCTATCTATCTATCTATCTATCTATCTATCTATCTATCCGAGTCCCTTCTATCTATCTATCTATCTATCTATCTATCTATCTATCTATCTCTCTCTCTCACAATCACCTTGCTTTCTTTTATCTATCTATCTATCTCTCTCTCTCTCTCTCACAATCACCTTGCTTTCTTTTATCTATCTATCTATCTATCTATCTATCTATCTATCTATCTATCTATCTATCTATCTATCACAGTCACCTTTCTTTCTTCTTTCTTTTTCTTTATCTATCTATCTGTTTATATCAATCTATATCTCTATCTATCTGAGTCCCTTCTTTTTTACTTTCTTTCTTTCTTTCTTTCTATCACAGTTTGATCATATCTCTCAAGCTAACTAGCTAGACAACTAACTATTAGAAAATGGAAGATTAGGTATATATTCTGTGAAACAAGATCACGCCAATTCGTTCCCCTCTGAGTATTTCATCAGAGATTATTTTATTGACAGAAGAAAAGATTAGCTTCTCAGAAAACCGAACATCTTATAGTGTCCTTTATTCATGCTAAAGACGAAGATGCAGAGAATGGGCAGGAGATGAAAGAGGAGAGAAGGATACGAAGAATAGGAGGAGGGACAAATAGGAGAACGAAAAGAGAAGGACTATGTATTTGTTGATTCGAATGCTTAGAAAATACAATGATGTGTTGAGCAAGATAAATTTGAGATGAAGCGGAAAACGAAGCAAAAATGAAAGATCAGCGCCAAGACAGATTGCGTGTATTAAAGAATAAATAAATTAAGTAATAAATGCTGTAACAAACGGCAGACTTAGCAGACAAAAATACAGTCTTCCCCACCAGCTGAGATTAACAAAAAAAAAAAAAAAAAAAAAGAGCAGTACTGCCGCTGCAAATGGAAGGTTTCTTTGTATTGCTGCTGGCCTTTTTTGTTTATATTTCAATTTTAAGTTGCCCTCTTGGCCTTTTTAAAATGAAAAAAAAAATATTGAGAAATTAAGAAACAAAAACTCCGAGGAAAAGAAAAGAACAACGTCGAAATCACATTAAATTGTCCTCCTTTGTTATTTATTTTTTAGTTCAAGATATTTTAATATTAATATGATTTAATACGAGGCAACAACGACATATGACCCTAGAAAATGGAAGGGGTAATTAGACATTGCTATTATATGTTGAAGTTAGCTCCTTTGACTCATCTGTTCTTTTCACGTTTCATTCATTAATACAAGTGTAGAATGCAGAAGGAATACGTACGATATGATCTTATTAATCATTTATTGGTGTACAAGGAAAATGCAAGTTATTGAAAGATGGATCCATTTAATATTTGAAAATTAATTCTAAGAAAATTCATTTTAATACAAAGCGAAGAATTTTCCTGACAATATCTCGTATCTCTCTGCCATCATTCTCTTTCTTCCATGATCCATGATTTTCCTCGTAATTTCTTCGTTTCATATTATGAAAAAATGTTAACATTTCCTAATTTTTCTAAAGTTCATGAAAAGATTCACAGAGGGATTTACGTTATTAATCTACAGGATATTTCGAATAATAATCTGAGGTCCCGAAGAGAAAGATGGGGGGGAGTTTATATGTTTAAGAAATTTATTCATCCCACCCCAGACTTATTAAGATCAGCCCGTTTATTATTTTCTTGCATCTTACCGTTTAGATGCTTTTCCGCCCCCTCTTATATCAAATTTATTGCATACTAGAATAATACCAGCTTCCCAATTATTAAAATACCTTGGGATAATTTTTCCTTTTTGTTCTTATAGTAATTTCTACATATATTTTTTTTTAGTTATAACTGAATTTTCACACCCCATATATATATATATATATATATATATATATATATATATATATATATATATATATATATATATATATATATATATATATGTGTGTGTGTGTGTGTGTGTGTGTGTGTGTGTGAATAAAGAAAAAAACAAAAAACAAAGCTTATCCTAGCCAACGTGTTTCTTCTTCTAAGGCAAATTCAATGATTTTAATTTTTTACAAGTAATTACATACAAGAACAAAAAAAAAATAATTTTAAAACTTAAGAACGCTGATTAATATTCATCAGGTTAGCCGAAATGTCTAAGCAATCTATGGAGGAAGCAAAGTGAAAAAATTCAAACAAAATTGAGTAAATGATATTCTAGAATAATTATTTACCGAATGAAAATTAGTAAGTTACGTTCACTTTTAGTACGTGTGATATTATTTACAAAAAATTGTGGTTGAATTTATTTCTTTGTGAAACGACATTTGATAAATTGCTGTGTATAAGATCCCTTTTATGTTCATAGATACGTTTTTTTACATTTCTGCAATCTTCCAAAGGGTATTGTGAGAAACAGTTCGGGTAATTTATTTAACATATACTTGTTTCATAATTATTATTGTTATTGGTATTTTGGTTCGTGATCATATCCATAATAGTTTTGGATGTAAATATGTTGATGTTGTTTAGAATCGATTAACTGTTTTGAAAAGTGGATATTATGGAGTTAGTACCTAGCATTATGTGTATGTATTATCTAGTTTATAATTGTAAATAATGGTGTTAGCTTTTTTGAAGCCGTATATTTTATATGTATTTCTCTTAGCATTGTGGGTGAAATAATAATATATATATATATATATATATATATATATATATATATATATATATATATTTATTTATTTATTTATTTAGGCACCAATTTTGATTGATGCATGTTTCATTAAATAATATTAACACGTTTTGTCTATTTTAAATAAGTTCCTTTCATGTTCCTTTTATGTTGGTCACACCACAAACCCGCTTTCACGAAGCTTGACTCTACATTTGAATGAAGACTCTAACATTTTTATGCATTTAAAACAATATGCCTGGCCTCGTACACAATTCCAAAAAATCCTCGTTGAAAACACAACTATACATGAAAACAATAAACAAAATCCAAAAATTCTTGAAGCTATATACATAAAACTGTTGAAACCTAACCTGAACAAAATAAACTACGAAATCTCCACAAACATTCTGAAATGCCTATAATTGATAACAGAAGCCATTGGTTTATACCAACGGCTTCCCATATATGATACTTCTCGTTTTCAGTTTCGCGTGGTCATATGTGACGTCATTATTGTTCCGTGTATTGGTTGATATATTGAAAATAGCTTATGTAAGCCGAAAGCTTAGATTGGATTTAAAGATGTATCAATATGGTGATTTCCTTTCGTTCTTCAATGATAATGTTTTTAAGCTTATCAGACAATATGAAAGGAACTTAAAGTTAAGTAAATAGACAAAACTTGTCTATATTATTTAATGAAACATGCATCAATATATATATATATATATATATATATATATATATATATTGATGCATGTTTCATTAAATAATATTAATAAAATAATATATTATTTAATGAAACATGCATCAATATATATATATATATATATATATATATATATATATATATATATGTGTGTGTGTGTGTGTGTGTGTGTAGATGCATGTTACATTAGATAATATAGACAAATTTCTGTACTTTACTGCTACCAGCAAGCAGAAATATTTCTTCTCCCCGATGATGACCATTTTGACCGAAACTAGTCGAGCAATCTAAATGAAATAATAATTAAAAAAAGCGAAAGAATATTAATCTACAACCCAGTGTGTCTGAAGATTTTAATTTTTTAATATTTTTTATTTTTCAATATATATATATATATATATATATATATATATATATATATCGTAAATGCAACAAATCCGTTGGAATATAATCCAAGTTGATCCTCGTAATATAAAATATTAAAATTGAGCCACAAAATAGCTCAATATATTTATTAATACAGAGCAATATCATTAATAATATTAAACTCTATTTCATTCCTCTCAATAACTGGTGTTGATTACTGTATTATTTTAATCTAATCTTTTCTTCTAAGCGTATATAACACCAATCTCTAAGACTATTATGAGTACGTGCGGAACAAATAATTTTCCAACCTATCTGTTGGCTCGAACCATTCTGCTTAAATTCTCATTTTTTTAAAACAGTATGTTGACATGAAATGTCGGAATAAAAACAAATTCACATTTTCATAATATATATTTAACTTAATTAGCTTTCATATTTCCATAATATTCTCTCCCCTCTAACTCTTCAAATGTCGCCATTATAACTAATTCTAATTTTTATGTTTAATTTCCCTCTCTATAAACTCTTTACACTATATTAATTATAATTTATAAAACTTACCCTACATTAATATCTCCCCAACTCTCATTCCATATATATTTTACATTTTTAGTACTTTTTTTTACGCCTATTTTAAATTAATATTTCATTCATCATATAGCCCCAAATTAATGTCATAAGATTAAATATTCGGGTTTAAGTTTTTAAAATTTCTTTAAGACAAATAACTCCCCCCCCCACTGATCCTTGTCTCGTGCATTTCCTCTGACTGAATCACTGAAATGGATAAATTCTGTATAATTCTTTCGACATGCAGTTTTTTTTAGCTTTCACAGTTAAATTCTACTTCCCGAAACCCCTATCTGTAATAGACACGAACTCAGTCGACACCGGCAAACGACCGATATCTTTGTAAGCAGGAGTAGGCTATTCCTATATGAGGTAATTTGGGATTTTATTGTTTATATATATATATATATCATAATAATAATAATACTTTAAAATTATAACTGATGTAGGCAAGAAAATCACACAAATGATCATATACAAAAACATTAGTACATGTACGTATACATGTTAGTATTTATATAAAACAGAATCAATTCTTTAAAAGTAAATTCTCCAAAATTAATGCTATTAGGGAATTTTACATCTGTTCTTTTTTCTACACTTTTTTGGTTTAATGTTTCATTTTTTATACTTACTCATTATGATATTTTCCTGTATGCATAGATTTCATCTTTGCCAGAAGCTGTTTGGAGCCTGAGATTGACAGATGATTATCCATTTAATTTGTGGTGTGAAGCCTCCATCTTTAAGATTCCATTAATATCTAGATAGAGCAGTTTGATATCTTAAAGTAGCATTGGTGAAGGGATGCCGGTTATTTTAATGTCTCTGCTTCAATGTCCTCGCTGATATCGATATGTATACATTTTCTCATTGATGCTTTCATTCGGAAAACACGTTACCTTCGTATACTGCATGTTTAGAATTGCAAATGTCTTTAACTTGGCAGTTATTTCCAGTTTTACAATTACAAGGAGGCTTGTTTTATTTTGTCAGTTAATCATACTTTGTATATTTTTAGTGCAGGAATAACTGAACTTTAGAGTTTTTCTATTAAAAATTCTTTTAGAGTTTTGT